ACAAATTATTTCAGAATTAGTATTGTAATTAGATACAAAATAGTAATAGATGTTCATGGCTTATCCGAAAAAATCGTTATCCGAAACGGCGCCCCCCCCCCCCCCTCCTTTAATTCGATTAACGAGGGTTGGATTGTAATAAGGACAACGAGGGGCCGACGAACATAACGACAGTGAAATAATTGTAAATGATGCGATTCGATTTAACAAAATGTTTATAACTAAAGCTAATAAAATAATATTGATTGATTGTTTGCAATCGACGAAAAATTTCATCTTATTTATTGTTATTTTTTCAAACTCAATGGGACCGCAGACGGTTCATGGTTTTTCACACCGATTTACACGATTTAATTGTTATCGATTGTTCAGTGTTTTATAAATATTGTATGGGACGACACTTCTTGTACAGCCAAGAAAAAAGAGAGAGAGAGCAAAGACAATAAAAAGACAAAAAAAAATGGAAAGATTATAGAAGATAAATTACGTTAATGCAAAGATAAAATTCAAAACAAAAAAAATAAAAATAATAGAAAAACAAAATAAAAATAAAACAAAAATTTAGAAAAAAAAACACTTTTTAGGATAAATAAGTAAATATAAGTAACACAAAAGATAACCGTGGTACGAACATAAAATCATCGCAATTCGTTGTAAATGTCGAGAATAAACCTGATATAGAAAATTGGGTGAAGTTGGATAGGTAGAAAATTTCCGAATCGAGCAGACTTTAGACAGCAACTATTTCCTTTTCGTTATTTTACCTCAAAATGTAAGTAAAACGAATTTTTAAAATTACATCTCAATACAAAACGGATACTTCTTTTTTCCTTTATATTTTCGCCTCTATCCAGATTATTATTTTCATCAAATAATCTTATTAAAGAGTGATTTTGTAATTTTTTTTTTTTTTTTTTTTATCTGGTACAGAAAAAACAAGATAATTCACTGAGTTTTCGTAATTTTAGCGACTCATAGCTTAAGAAATTAACTTCATTGTGAGTTAAAACATTGAGAAGTTTTCACATAAAATATTTTAATGAGAACAGATACACATTATATTTTAATGAATTAAAATAATGAGTTAATATTATACGACAAGCAAAAAACACTGTATAGTTAATAAAAGCAATTCGTTATCGAAGAGAATTTTGATGTGCGCTGAGATGCTCCAATATTTTTAATTGGGCGTATTTTTAAATTTCTTTTATCTACTGATGATTCTCAGATACGGAAACCCTCCACGCTTTTGCGCATGCGCCAGGCGGTTGATTTCACCAAAATAGGGGTGAAATGAGAAATGGGGGTGGAGCTGTTTACAATTTACTTAGCAGCATATAGAAAGATTTTATTTCCATTTACTGATTTGCTAAAAAGACTAACGAAAAAGAAAATACGCCTCGTCGGACGAAGGTCATGACCTAACAAAGAACTCAGGAAAAGAGCTATCGGGTTTTTGAAATGAACAGCCCAGAATTAAACAATCCTCTCCGAGCTTGTAAAGCGAGCTCATTTTGAACATTGCCAAAGTCCGGATTAGCGACTCCTCGCAAGATCCTACGCGAACTCAGGAATTGAAAAAACAGCCCAGTTATCAAGACAATAAAGTTATGATTAATATATTCATGTTAAATAGTCGTGCTTCTTATTTTCAGTCACATTTTTAGCAGATTATCCTTTTAATAATACTTTATTTAAGAAAACCTTTGAATGATTGTATGATTCTTCTTTACTTTATTTATTTTCATTGCAATTCTTAAGCTGGTTTCACATAAAAAAAGAGCATGTCTTGAAGAAAAATATATTTTCAAAGAAAAAAATTAATATAATTCAATATCAGAATATCTAAAAATACTTTTTATTAAATCATATTATTTTGCATTTTTGAAATAACGATTTTAAGGCTATGAATTTGAATTAAGAACTATATTTATCATCATATTTGAAACTAATTATCCAATTGTTATTTTAGGTAAATGTTGCAGAAGAGTCTATGCTAATATATATTTTTTAGAAAACACTTGTGGTGTTAAGAGCTGAAAAAGTAGTGCAATAATTTTTATAAAACTTTTCATTCGCTGGACAGTTTTTAAATTCAGAGATTCATTCAAATCCTATAAAATATTTTTTTAAGGACCAGAAAGAACAATAAAAATTTGTGACTACTGAACACTGGAAAATGTGAATTACAGCCCTTAAGTCGATTTTTTTTATCAAATAATGCCATTTTAAATTTATAAAATGGCATTAAAATTTTTGCTGTGTAGTTTGCGCGATACATAAGTTACACAATTTTGCTCGTTTTTTTAAATCTTGGAATGATGTGCTGATTTTACTTAGTGTCGTAGCAATGTTAAGGGGCGCCTGGGTCATAATATGATTTTTTCGCCCGTCATCATCAGTGGTTTAGTTTGTGTAGCCATCGCCTAGGACATAGCATTTTTTCGCCCTCTCGTATTTTACTTTACACAGTGACATAAACGCATTAATGTCCATGGCCAGTGGCGTAGCGAGGGTAAACAGCGCGCGGGGTACAATGTGATTTTTTATCCCATTCGTCATCGGTGGCTTAGCAAGCTTAAATGGCACCCGGAATAAGGTATAATAATTATTATTATACTCATCATATTTTGTTTTAAAAAATGACATAAACACAATAATGCTTATACTCCATGACGCTCCCTAAAACTGGCGCCCGGGGCATCTATACCTCCCCCCCCCCCTGCCCCCGGGTCGCTACGCTACTGATTTTACAATACGATAAAATTTACGAAGAAACTCACTTTAATTTAAGTAATTGACGACACTGGTTTTTTATAACGTTTCAACAAATGCTTCTAAGCAAAATGACAAAAATAATACTGCAAACTTCATTATTATGACTTTTTCTATTTTAAAATTTTTTGCAGTCTTCAAATAATAGGATGAAATACATAAATTTTTTTTAAAATTGTAATTTAAGAAGAAGGAAAAAAATAATTTGATGTAAGTATTTAGATTATGAAGATTATAAAACCGGATTTTTTCCCCCCAACTTTCTACAAATATTAGTGTGAGGATGGAAAGCAAAGTTATAAGACGTCCTAAATAGTCATATTCAAAAGAAATTTGCTCGTGCTGCCATCTATTAACCACATTGATTTTTTTAAGTCAAATATGTTTTACACATGTCGCCATCTATTGTCCATAAGGATCAACTGTATCAGGCATGGCATATTTATTCTAAACTATACAAACAGTAGTTTATTTTACTTTCTTTACAGTTGCAAGTTTTAATTTAAAGAGGAAAAGAATATGGAGACCTTTATCGGAGGGAGCCATTTTTTTTTTCTCTTGACAGAATCAGATCGGCAATAAGTTTAACCCGTCTTTTGGTGGCAATTTTAATCTCTTTTTTGATTACGGATTGAAAAGAACTTTGGAATGAATAGGGGATAATAGCCTTTGTTGCTGAAAATCCCCCAAACACCCCAATCAAATGAAATAATTTAAAGCATATGACTGGTTTACGGAAGCAATTTCATAATTTAATTTTAGTAAAAAATATAAAATGTTGCTTATTGTTTAACAACCAAAACTGCAAGATCCAAAATACTGTTCATTTCATCGGTTAAGACCTTAGAGTATAAGATAGCTGGTTAACACAGCAATACGAAAGAGGCTTAACCTAAAGTTTATGGTACCCAGCCATTTATCTCCACTTTGGCTCGTCAATTCCTTGCCGCCAAGCGGAAGACGGATTGGCGACGTTCGATTTTATTGGTCAGGTAAGTGCTATTTACTATTTCATTGGTCGATTTCTTCGAATTTGAATAAAGCTTCGTTTGGAATTCTACGTTTTGTGTTTTGACAGTTTGATAGTGGATTTGTTTCGATTGACATGGTTGGAAAATATGGCTGCAAATTCTTCTCCGTGGTACAATTCTTGTCGAATACGAAATGTCATTTATGGATTTCTCGTTTTTGGAATTAAAAAAAACGTAGATTCATAACATTCAATGAAAAAGCGAAGCTAGTAGTTTCCTGCTTTGCTGAAAGCGAAGCCGCTGATGTTTTTTTAAGTTTAAAAAATTTGCCCGGAACTCATTTGAGATGCCTCAGGCATTGCGTGCGGAATTTTTCCTTTTCAGATGCCGCAGGCATCGCGTGCGCGAGAGAACAATAAAAAGCTCATTGCGCACCCAAACTTTGGTTCTTACATCGCCAAGCCATCTTGCTCTCGGCAACAAAAAGTTAGCGATCCTAACTGGGGAGGAACGGCTGGTTACCATAAACTTTAGTTTTAGCCGAAAGACAATTAAACAGGAATGGAGTGAAATATAATAATTTATTCTCTTCTACAAAATATAAGAACAAAAATTTCATTTAATCTGTACTTATTATCAATAAATGCAAATTTTGTCAGTTCACACGTGGCTTGATAGACTACGAGACACTGTTAAATATTAGGTATCATTTTATGGCACTGTTTATTGAAATTTAACTGAATTTCCGATCTGATCTAAATTTCAAAATATTAAACTTTACTTGGCTTTTCTGTTGTATTTTCAACTTAGAAATGCACCCAAAAGAAGAAAAAAAATGTCTGGAATTTCTTATGATATTTTTCAATTTTACAGGGAATTGTTTTGCCTACAACTGAGAAACAAACTTTTTCTTATACATATTGCATAAATTGCAATTGTATATTGAAATAAATTCCATTATTGTCAGAATAAAATAAAAATTTAGATCTTAAGTTTGGCACTGTTCATGATTTATAACCCTATTCCAAATCATTTAATAAATAATAAAATACTTTTATTTGCTTTTAAATTCACACGCACAAACTACATTTAGAACTATAGTTTTCAAAAAGTTTGGTACTGGTATTCCTACTTCGCGTTTAAATAATGCAATTAGGAGAAGCAAAACAATTACCACGATATCTGGTTCTGCCCGGGATCGAAGAAAAGAATATGGAGGCCTTTCTCGCCATTTTTTTTTTTTTTTCTCTCTCTTGACCGAATCAGATCGGGGACCTTTTGCGTGTAAAGCAAACGTGATAACCACTACACTACGGAACCCGACGAAAGCGTTTTAAAATCAGTTAAAAACCAGTTTTCTGTTCTTTAATCTGTCGAAAGCTCTTTTTGGATTGTAAATAATGTACAAGATTTCATGGATTGTATGTTTGTGCTCGATTTTCATTTATAACATTTTCTGACAACAAGATATGTTTTCAGTAAGATTTTACGATATTTCGAGGACAGTCAATTCTTCGATTCAAATTATAAAATTGACCAATAATATATTGTTGGTAGATTTTTATGTATTAACATTAATTTTCAGGCGTAAAAGAAGCATTTATGACAGGTTAATACAAAGTTAACCTATCACTTTTCGATTTGATTATTGGAATATTTCTCTATTATTCAATTCAAGGGGACTTGGCACCTTAAGAATTCCGGAAAATCAATGAAAATATCGATTTTCAAATTTTGATTGGAAAATGATCCTTGAACCTTTGACTAAGTAATCTGAATGTTTCAAAACAATTAGACAAATGTTTAGTGAGACATGAAGTTATTTTTTCATCACGTGACACGCCCACTTCCAATGTTTAAAGCATGCATATTTCATGTGTAAGTTGCAAAGCCACCTAATTTTTTCCATAAAAGCAAAGCAAGATAGTTGTTTCAACCGTTTAATCTTCGTTTGTTTACTGTTTTACTGCTTTCGCTTCTTTATTATTTATGAAGCATATCGTCATCATCATCATCTTCACTGCTTTCGCTTCTCATTTTGTTTGAATTTCTCACTGCCAATAAAATTTCAATAAAATGGTTTTAAATTTTTTTCTCTGTTATAATGGATATTTGATAAATAGTACTGCAGATCATTTATTAAATATTTTGACTAAAAAAATTTGAAAAAAGTGAAATTTTTCGCATTTTTTAAAATTTTTTTCTAATTATCCCTATAAATGATGATGCTAATTAATAATTATAGTAATAATAAATATTAATAAAATTGATAACTTGGGACTCGCAAATGTCAGGTTACTGATCTGAAAAAAACTAGCTTGATATAAGTTTTTTTTATTACAATTTTATTGTTTTTAAAACTTTAAAGCTGTTTTCCTCAATTTGCTTTTTTCCAAAATTGTGTCTGCTACAAAATGCAAAAAGTCGATCTCTTTTTATTCTAATTACTTGAATTTTTTTCTGTTCACTCACAAATTCATGCTTAATAGAATTAGGGAAGGATTTGTAAAAATTTTGATTAGAAAACTTTTAAAAATGTACAAAGTAAAAAATTCTGATATTTTCCAAAAATGTTCACAAAATTTTGAACAATTTTTTTTCTCTAAAACTAATGTAAATATTAAAAATCCGATCCCTATTTCTGTTAAGTACATTGAGAGGTCCCTTTAAAAAAATTTGGAGAAAAAATATTAAAAATTGTATGAGAAGAAGCATTCTGAAAAAAGGGTTAATTTTTTTTTTAATTTAAAATTTTTATATTTGTAATTTTTCAAAATGAAAAATATTTTAGAAATTTCAGTTTCTGCATAGTTTACATCTATCTACTACAAAATTGAATAAGTTTGATCAAAATTGTAGAAAAAAAATTGGGGGTGCCAAGTCCCCTCAATGCGATCAGGGAGGGCAGGGCCCTTAAACCGATTGCTCCAAATAGGGCCCCGTGCTGGCGTGCTACAAAGAATGTAATCGAATTAATTAAAATTAAAATCAACTAATTATTGTTTTTGGCAAATTATTTAGAAAGCATGCTTTTGTTGCATTACAAAAACATGATTTGTTTTAATAGATCTAAGAAAGTTTTGCAAATATAAATTATTAGCGGATGTTCACGATATTGTTAAATAAGAATTTTCAAATGTTCAGATGCGAAATAAGAGTATATACTTCCGTTTGACTGTCGTGGACATAATAATAATTAATGGCAATTCAGTTTGTGTTGAATTTCCAAGCAATTTTTTTGAACATCGAGAAGACAATAAAAGACATCGAAAGACAATAAAAACGATTAAACTCTTTTCTACACAATCATTAAAATAATGATGTAAATGGTGATTTAAATCTGATTATTTTTATTAAACATGCATTTGATACTAGGGCGGCCGAAAAAATCTTTTTTTTCTTTTCGAAAGGCTATAGTGCGGAAAACTTACCTCTATGGTGGATAAGTAAAATGCAAAAAAAAATTCTTTTGCTTACATCTGACGGTAGCGCATCGACCCTAAACTTTTCGAAAATATACGATTTTAAAAATTTTTCTAATAATTGGAAAAAATCAAATAACTTCTATAATGAATAGATATAGGTATAGTTTACTACAACAAAATGTATGAAAGATAAATAAATGAAAAATAAAATACATTTAACAATTTGTTAATAGCGCATTACACTAAAAAAACCCACATTTTTTTACAAAAAAATTGACAAATTCCCATTGAAACAAAAAGTTGTTTCTCATTGTGTAAAATTTCAATTTGTAATCAAATATAGTCCTTAACTTGCCTTTAGTTTCTTTTGGTACTTTGAAATAAGATTTGCTTGAAAAACTTAGCATTGAAGATCTTGAAAGAAGTGTAGTTTTTATAAAACCATTTCTAGAATTGGAACCGACGACTTTTTGTGAGGCCTCGGTTACCGGCTTCACTCATCGTTCCACTGCTTGGATATGACATGGGTACTTGACAAAGTTCCATTCAGCCCCTGTTCCACCTGATTGGACCTTAGACCAAATCTCTTGATTCGTAACTCTTCGCAGCAAAGGTGGTGTTGAAAGTGTAACCCCAGATAGCACGTACGTTTGCAGCAAGTTTGATTTTTACTTGATATCATCTTGTCATGGCAAATTTTTTTTAAACTCTAATTTCATAATTTATTCTACTAGCAAAACGTAGTTATTAGCGAAAATCGCTCTCTCTTTGGCTTCAAATCATATTCTCAACTCAAAAAATTAATGAAATCAAGAAAACAGTTTAAAATAAATCGCATACAAATCGAATCGAACGGTCTGAGGCCGGGCAAACCGGGCAACTGCCCGTGGCGCCAAATTTCGGGTGGCGCCAAATCTGAAATGTAAAGGGGAGAAAAAATGGTTTAATTGACATGAGAGCTCTGGCGGAAACGGCAAAAAATTTTCATTTCATTTTGGCGCCCCCTCTCCAGTTTTTTGTACCGGCGCCGGCTCTCGGCTCAAGCCTCTAGACCCTGGAGGGGTCTCAAAATCTGTTCCACGAACATCAGGCCATAAAATTTGGTGGGTCATTCACAGGCCGGATTGAGCGGACTGCACCCACGGGAAACCCGATCCTAGGGGATCGAATTGACCATAGGTGCGGTCCGGTCTACTGTGCCCCCTCCTCACCCCGCTTTTAAACCTAGCCCTCCCTGCCCTAATTTTCCTAGAATGAATACCACCCACACTCTCCCTTCCTCATTTCGTGGTTTTTCCTTTGGTTCGAGCATAGAGTGTACTCTAAGGATCCGAGAGGCTCGTTCCCCTTAACCGACTATTGTATTTCAGTTTTATGGCACAGTGGGCCGAAAAAATATTAAGGAAGTGATTATTTGCAGGTACTGTAACTGCGAATAAAACGTTATTTGCAGGTACACTGTACCTACGGATAAAACGTTATTTGCAGATATACTCTACTTACGGATTACTTGCAGGTTTTGTCAAATTTAAGATGCTTCTGTAGAAGTTTTAAAATGTTCTTTTTGTACTTGAAATGTTCTTTCTTTGTTCATGAGATTATTAAAAGAAATATTAATGCTACTTTGTGAGAATTTTCAGTTTTGCGACGTTTCAGTTTCACATTTAATTTGGTCTTGAGAGCTTATTTCTAATTCATTTGATTGAATTTGGTAGAGCAAATATATTTACTTATTTTTTTCAGTCATAAAATTAAACCATATGGCAATTTATTAATGAAAAGCAAATTTCAGATCCTAATGAGCTCCAAAGACCCGAAAGATGTCTTACGAAATTTTAAACTTCCCTTTACAGTTGACGGAAACCCCAAAGTCAATAGTCTGAATCTGCTATAATCCATTTACAAAATGCAAATTTACATTGAAGAAAATGCAGAATTAACCGTCGTTAAAAATTTTAACAAAGGGTGAGAAGTGAAAGAAGGAAACTAAAAGACCCCGTACCTCTTCATATCACCTTCCTGAGATTATTCCTAAGCAAAAAGGTCGTGTCTTATTAAAAAATTATTAAAAAATAATAGAAAGCCACTAAAGAATTATGTGTATATTATAAAACTAACGCAGTGAATTTTTCTGACTTTACCAGTAACTGTTGCTACTGGCGGGATAAGTTTTTCGAAACTGAGACTGATTAAAACATATCTGCGATCTAGCAAGTCGCAGAGGCGAATAGTTGGTTTGGCAACCATATCAATTGAACGGGACCTTCTGCAGAACGTCGATATTGAGAATATTATGGAAGATTTTGCAGATGAAAAGGCAAGAAAAGGGATTACGTGAAGAGAATTTATAATATTGTGTAAAAAAATCATATATTTTTAAAATATTATTTTCAATACATTATTTTAGTTTCTGTAAGACTTCTTTATATTCTTAAAAATATCTGAAATTAAAAAATTCTGCCCATAACATTATTAATGCAGATTTGCAGGTAAAACATACACATATCTAAGTAAACTTTTGTTGGAAATTTAAAATACAGACAATATAGAATTTAAAAATTACGTTGGTTGGGGGGACGCGAAATTGTTGTTTTGCCCGGTTGGTAAAATTACCTCGGGCAGCCTCTGGAACGATGCATTAGCGAAATCTATCTTCTACTCTCAGAGTTTAACTGGCCGGGTGGTTAGAGCGTCAGCTTATTAAGCGGTAGATCGCGAGTTCTAATCCGGGTTGTGTTCGTACTCTGTTTTTGCTATAGTTTGGAATGAGCTTGACGTGACAAATTTGTGACAAATTTGTGGCAAACTTGACGCGTGGTGACTTCGAAGCTGACGTTATCGTGCCGCAAGCTTGTTTCAAGCTTGCACTCTTGTCATGCAAACTTGTAGATTTTG